TTTTTTCTCTCATAAGACTATTATTTTTTACTACTAAGTAAATCCTATACACATGAAAATTTAAAGAAACTTGGATAAGATACTACGAGAGCACTTGTTAATCGATGTGACTGCGGCAAGAAATTCCCCACTTAGACTGTCTGACCGGTGGCCTTTATCCAAAATTGGATTATAAAACACACAGCCCAGCTCTAAACCCACCCTGACTTGAATTTTTATAGGGTTTTTCGAGCTTTCATGTGTTACATGCTCTTTTTCATATGTATACTCATGTTTGATGTGCTCGTTAAATACTTAGCTACACTTGCTTACTTTCACATGTGATATTAACCTTGTAGCAGTAGCAGAGGCTCAGATACACATTTATAGTTATTTACTGCAGTCTCTTACTACTTTGGTGTCATGTTCTTACTTTACCATGCATGTTTTACTTACATTACATACCTACAAAACCACAAAAATGCATTTTCAAAAATTTATACACTTTTAAATCGAGTCAACGCCTTTAATCCACCCATTTTGGATTTACAAGAATCTCTCGGATAAGGTAACTTATGGTTGCTAACGGGAATTCTCCGGTCTAAATGAGCTTAACTCATTTAGACTAAGTAAATTCAAAAGAAAATAATGATGTCGGAATGATGGAACTGTGGGATCTTAACCGGTGACGTTCAAATTAAATTAAAATTTCCCCCCGAACATTTCAACATTTGAACAATAACGAACAAACCAAAATGTGACATATAAACCACAAACCTCAAACCCTTAAACACTGTAGCTACTACTACAACAGAAGGCTTGGAGACAACTTCGTAGGCAGCACGGCGAGGAGATTGGATCGAGTAGCAAGAGGATCTTCTTCAGCAATCTCTCTCCTTAGTTCAACAATAATAACCATAAGGACTTCGAGGTAGTTCATTTAGCACAACGTAAATCTTCACCTCATCTTTAGGCTCATGTGAAATCATGTTGTGTTGCGTAAGTCCTAACTCGTTTTAGGTTCCAAGAATGTCGTTTGGTATGTCGTAAACCCTCCTATCATTCTACGCTATTTGCATAATCAAATATAATGCAAATATAAGTCCCAAATAATAAAATTGACAGGATTGAACACTTAAATAACATCATCTTCAAAACACAGTCACACAGTATGATAGTTTGAGAAGTCACTGAGGGCTCTCCTCAGGATCTGTGACGTTTTTTACCGTTTCCTTTCTTCGACTCCTGAAAATAACTGTTCCTACTTGAGTCACTGCCACTTATTTTTCCACGTCTTACCGTGAAAACCTAAACCTTGAATTCTTGAAGACTAATACCTCCGATCATTATCGAGAGTTTTCTCAAATGATCTCAATTATTTGAGATGTAATTAGCTATAGGGGTTTGCCCCTATAGGGAGTTTTGAACCCAGGTAAAATAAACCATATTTAATCTATGTATTAGATAGAAGAACTTTTCGGTCACACATAAAAGGTTTGTAGGTCATACATATGCCACAAATCTCTTAGTTTGCATGATTAGGTCCATCGCCGAGGTATACACCTATCTTTTGGGAAGGTGTAGTATGTGCGGTATTGACCACGATTATGTAAACTATTAGACGGATGAGATCATTCGGTTTCATTTTCCAAAAATTAAAACACCACTATTTTCAAAATATAGAAAATATATACCTCTTATATTAAATTAAATTTAGGTTATTTTCAAAAAAGTTGCCTGTCACATGTAATCTTATATATATATATTATAAGAATAAAATTCTTATTAAATATTTTAATTAAATTTATTAAACTCACCTTATAACCTTCAGTCCAGCCCTAATCACACGCAGACACAGGTGTTGCTTCGCCTCCCACCTGCGCTCGCGATGGTCACATGACCTCTCCTCTTTTGCACGAGGCTCACCTTCTTTTGCATCGAAACCCAGGGAGACGACGCGGGTGGTGTTTGGCGGTTGGATAGCAGGTGGAGTTGTCGGTCGGGTGCGGCGGCAGCAGCAAGGGAGTTTAGAAGCGGCACTCCTAAACTCCCTGGCTGCTGCCGCCGCAGTAGCGAGGGCTTGCAAGGGAGGTTACAACAACAACTGTAGGGGTGGAGAGGGTACAATAACAATGGGACAAGTAAGAGAGGTTTGCGGGCTGGATCAGCAGCCTGGGAGCAGGTCGGGGCTTAAGCCTGTGGCTGGAAAAGAACACAGATAGGATTTGTTGGCAGGAAGGAGCAGCAGGGTTCGGTTACCGCTAGAAAGAGGTATACGGGCTTGCGGCTAGCAGGTTGGCAAGAGGGAGGGTTGGTGGCACTGATGGGGGAGTTGGCGGCATTGTAGGAAGGTTGGTTGTAGGAAGATGGAGGGTGACAACAGGGAGGATGATTGGGGAAGCAACGTCAAAGATTGAAAAGGATAAATATCCCCGCAAGATTGAGTTACAGCCAGCGTACCCCTCAAACCATTGAGAAATATCACAACACCGGGCTAGTTACAGCCGGAGCACCTCCTCATCTTCAGATACAATCCAAGAACAAAAAACAACCTTGATGGCTGACTTGGACAAAAATCTGAAAGATAAAACCTGAACCCTAAGGCAGTCATCTTCAGATACAATCCAAGAACAAAAAACAACCCTGATAGCTGACTTGGACAGAAATCTGAAAGATAAAACCTGAACCCTAAGACAACAAATAACATATTTATAATAAGTATTAGTAGTTAGAATGAGAAGAAATTATAATAGGAAAGAAATAGAACTAGGAAAAGGAATAAGAAAAGCAAGAAATAGAAATAGGCAAGGAAGAGAAATAGAAAAGGAAGAGAAAAAAAGGCAAAGACAATAAATAGGAAAGGAATAAAAGAGAAAGAAGTTCCCTCTATGGAAGGGAGTAAAATAGGAAATTGGGAGAGGGAAGAGGCGACAATTCCAGCCCCATTGAAGGTCGACCGATTCAGCCAGCCACCCAACAAGCTGCATGCACTACATCGTGGTGTCTTTTCTTAAGAAAAGTTAACTATGGTTAGCTTTTCCCATGATGAGTTCTCCCAAGTCCTTAGTTAACCCCATGACGTTGTGATCTCCTAACTTAATAGGCCTTAGTGCTTCGATGATTGATCCTCCTACTTCCTCCTCGGAGGTTGAGTTTCCACTGCCTTAAAGGCTGACCGGTTCAGCCAGCCACCCAACAAGATGCACGCACTACATCGTGGTGTCTTCTTCTTAAGAAAAGTTAACTATGGTTAGCTTTTCCCATGATGAGTTCTCCCAAGTCCTTAGTTAACCCCATGACGTTGTGATCTCCTAACTCAATAGGCCTTAGTGCATCGATGATTGATCCTCCTACTTCCTCCTCGGAGGTTGAGTTTCCACTGCCTTAACTTCTACATTCTTTTGACAAAGTTGTTCGTAATTCAAATTTTGAGAATGTTTTCTCCTCCCTAATCAACAATTCTGCACTTTTACTTCACAGGACTTCAAAGAATCTTCAACATAAACAACAATTATCATTTTAGATCAAGCCTACTTTACTAGTTTATGATGAGATTCAGCCTGTCACTTATTGAAAAATTCTCTATGGAGATAATTTACAAGTTCATGACGGATCTAAAGTTGTTATTAGCTGCAGACATTTTAAATTTCTAATAAAAAATGCAAATATCTTACATTCTACAATAATCAAAGCATGGCCACGCTAAAATTGATAAATAGTTGAAAACAGCCAAAAGGAAAATATCTAGTTTCTCAAATCAAATGTGGTTTCATGCATGTTTAAGAAACTAGCTTTATTTCTATTTCACAAAAGGAAAAACACTCCATTTTCCCAAGCTAGTCTGCCTAATCCAATTAGTTTCTACCTTGTTTTTGTCATATAGAGTTAGGTAATATCTAGTTTCTACCTAGCTCTTGTGAGATAAACAAACAGATAAATTCAATTTCTAGGGAAAAGACAACGCTTAAGCTTTCAAGTAATGCAATAAATTACCATTCCCATGACATATCAAAATCACTTGGGATAAAGCAACGAAAAAATGAATGATAAATATATGCTTGACATACATGGTTTCTTCATCGAACAAAAGTTATCTGATCCATCAAAAGCACGCATGATATCTAAAAATATAGTCGAATGAACAAAACAAAACTAAAAAGTGCACTGCCCAAATTTTTCCAACAATATAGGCTACACAAAGTGTTAGGCACCGTATTACCAGTAAGAGGTGGATTGCAAATGCTTGAAAGAGGCGAGTACTCATAAGATGCAAGGCGATCTTCATAAATTCTGCATTAGGAGAGCATAACACATCATCCGTAAAAGAACCTGCTATTCTTTTTAGAAAAAGGATATTACCTTTTTCTGTGTAGTACATCAGAATTTGCAGCACAAACGATACGAACTTTGCTAGGACTCTGCACCACACCTCTCCACACACCTGATCGAATATTAAAAATAATATTGTAAAATTTAACCCAGTGACCACCACCTTTTAGCAGGTAAATGCCTTCAAAGACTTTGTCAACAAAAATTTCTACGATAGATCCCATCTTTGGAAGTGCATGTAAAACCTCTCTTGGAAGATCATATAGTTCAGGACGAATTGGAGATTTTGCTTCCATATCCAAACTAGTTGCACAAAAATTAAAAAATGGGAGTAAGATTCATCATCTAAGGTGGTAAAATAATAACAAATGATCATGTTTCCCGTCTCACCACAAAAGTTCAATGCCAAAGCTTAATAAAAAAATTGCTAAGAAAGAAAAGATTGAAAAATTTATTGGTTACCTAAGGCGCAAGCACATAAACATTAATATTAAAAAACCAGATGACTTTTGGAGAAACTAATTGGATAATGGACAATATAATTCACAGGGTTTCACCCAAGGTCTTCCTAATTTGAGTCTTCTTATGGGTACAAACTCACCATGGTTAATTATTCTCCTAATCATAAGGGAAAGCTCATGATGAATGTCATCACAAGGCTCTGTTTTCACTTCATATAGATGAGAACCAACATCCTGTGTTAAAATGTGATACACTGTGATAAGAAGGGATAGGCTAATGGTGGCAAACCCAATATAGGCTCTCCGTTAGGTGAACCTCATAGACCAAAAGTGAGACTATTCTCATGAAGCTAACTTCATAATAAAATTGTCAAATTGTTCAAATGGACTAGCCATTCAAGTCATGGCCTTTACAGATTTATGGGGTTTTAAACACACGACCCTCATGGTTACTAATAGGATGTGATATAAATAGAGTAATTTAAGAGATAACATCTTGAAGAGGAGAGGGCCTTCACTTGGCCATATTAACGATGTGAAACTAATTCATCAAAGTGGATGAGATGAAGTGATCTGGAGATATTTAAGAGGCTTGAAGTATTGTTGGAGTAGAGGTAAAAGGTTTAAGGTTGGTAAATGGCTAAGCTAACATGTTGACTATTCCAGAATTTGTATTTGAACTTTTAGCTGAAATTTTATGATAGTAGAAGAATGAGTTTTCTTGATGAGGGCCTTCAAATTAATTGTTCGGGATTTTCTAGAAGCAATAAAATTTAACAACTGGCCAGTAAAAAAGATAGTTGATGACGAGGGTTGTTAAAAGTTAATAGTTTCGTAAAGAGAAAGTGTTTGACTAATTAAGAAATTCGTGTCTAATTCATTTGGAAAGTAAATAAACTCAACATGAACATATGTTTTAAGCTTGATTTTAAGCAAGTTAAACACAAAAGACCTTTGTTGACCATCATATGCTTATTTTTTGCTCAAAATACATAAAGAAATAAACATAATAATAATAATAATAATAATAATAATATCTTTACAAAAACTAGCACCAACTTAACATTAACAAAAGAGAAACAAAATAACATGAAGCATTAGGAACAAAACAACGGTGCCGCTCTTTTCTTTAGTTTCATACCATTTGGACATATAATCTTGTACTATTCAAATCATAGCATTAAAGCCATTTGAGCTTGTAACCCACATAGAATATGTTTTGGTTGTGCAGGCTCTTATTATTGGAATCGCTGGACAAATCTTTATGAGCCTTCTTAGAAACTGGATAAATTAAATACTATTTTTTAAGCTCAATAAAGTTCTTGTTTGGCTCATATATGGTTTGAATTCTAACAAGTCGATGGCAAGACAATTTTGCGAGAGCAATTTCAAACACAACTTGAATACAAACACATAATTTTAAACAGGTTGAAGGCAAATAAACTCCCAACGCGCTCAAACTTAGCTCGTCTACACAACTAATAATAACATAGCACATGAGATTAGTCTCTTGACAAAAAAAAGAAAATATCATATCAAACCAATAAAATGCATAAGAGCAATGACTATACTAGATAAGTAAGTCAAGTAGACATTCAAACATCAACCTAGTCCAGAATGAAAATCATCAAACAAGTACTTACACCTCACTTGATATGGAGTAAATATGGAAGAATGGAGAAAGACTTTCTTCTAGTTAGTGGCTAGAAAACATCAATTAAATTAATAAAATTCTGAATAGATTACTTGAGATTGGACCAAGCTAGAATTATCATAACCATTGCCTTTAGAACAGGCAATAGTAACATTGGGGAAAAAATGATATAGGATTGCAGGGTGAAGAGACGGCAAGAGTAGCTGCAAGATCCTCAATAGAGTGGCTCTAGCTAAATTAAAAAGGACCTGCCTAACAAAACTAAGGATAAACATCCTTAGGAAACCAAGGTAGAGAAAGTAGCACCTAGCATAGTGGAAGATCCCATTTGTTCATGCATATGAACAATATAACTACTCTATGTTCATACTGTGATAAAAAGAGATATTCTAAATAGGTGGAATCTTAAAAATAATTTTCTTAATTCGGGATACCTTAAAGCAATCAATAAACTCATGAAAAAAAAACTCACAAGATTTTTAATGAGGACAAACGTTCAAATTTACTTCTAGCCAAAAGCCATAGAGAAAAGTGCCAATCAATGCCTCTCAAGCCAAAGAGATGGAAATGTCCATTTCAACATAGGCCACAAATAGTTGATAGAGTCTAACAGTAGCAGCATCCACATGTAATAGTTAGCCAAAAATTAAAACAAAATATAATGTCAATTCTTTGATGTAGTGAACTAGAAGATGAGGCGAAACCACCAAAACAAGGGTAATAGAAGGTTCCTAATAATTTCCAATGAATGGAGGTCACTTTAAAAGTAAGCATTTGTAAAGCATTCACATCATATGCATGACGACAGAACATTCTGAAATAATATGCATTCAATGATGATATGTATTGACCTTATTTTTGGTGAGGTCTCTTCTTCTTTTTAAAGCCTAGGGTCTAAACTTAGGACTTCTTGTTGGACTCTCTTAGAAGATTAGTTTGGGACCCGCACTACTAGAAATTCGAGCAACTTCTTGACTCCTTGCAGTTTCATATGGCTGGTTTTCATCTGGTTGGTTCTAAATCCTCAACGTTTGGTTGAGTCGATTAAAACCATGTTGACCTCATTTTGAGGTCATTACTCTTTTCCTTAGGATCCTAGGATCTAGCTCTAGGGATTCCTATTGAATATCTTAAAAAACTAGTATTGGAATCAATCCCTTTAGAAATTTCAGCCACCTTCTATTTCTCTTGTGATGTCCCACATTGATGATCTCAAAACCATCGTCGTATGGTCGAGTGGTTAAGGACTATCATGTGGAGACTCAGGGAGAAGTTCCCAATAGGATCTCAAGCCCTAGGAAAACATCTTCAGGACTTTATCATCACACACACACACACACACAAAATACACAAAATTCACTAAGTTGCAGAAGATCGGACTAAAATTAATCTTAAAGGATGTGTGAAAATGCAAACTTCTCCGGACGACCTCCGACGACAAAATAAACTGCGCCAACGCGTCTGGGACATTAATTTTAGCAAGAAAAGACACCAATACTGCTATAATTTTTTACACGAGCAAACTGCACGCAAAATCGATGAATTCGTTAAAACGACCTCCGACAACAAAACAGACCATGCAAACACGTCTGGAACGTCTAAATTACCTAAAAAGGACATCCATTTTGTTATGCTGTGACACACGAATAAAATGTACGAATCAAATTTTATTTCTGTAAAATTAAATATTTTATATTTATATTACTAATCACAATAATATTTATAATTCTAAACCCTACTTAGCCCCCATTCGATCCCACGGCTAGACCAGCCGCTTGGCTGTCCCCCTCTCATCTCTGCCTATAAAAAAACTTCCCAGAGTACTGTTTTGGGTTGTTGAAAATTTTGAGAGGGAAAGGAAGGCTGAGATTGTTTTGCTAATTGCTGTTTAAGGCTCTTAGGGGAAGGCTTTGCCGAAATTCCTTTTCGGCTAGGTTCTTATGTGCTGAAGTGTTCGTTGGTTGCTGCTTCTCGAAGCTTTTAGGAGGAAGGTTTCTGTAGGAGGTGTTATCTTGAATCTGTCCTACAGTTTTGCTTTGAGTTTGCCTTTGAGTTGTCCTACAGTTTTGCTTTGAGTTTGCGTTAAGAGGTATTTCTCTTCTTTCCTCTAATTTACACAATTTCGGATGACATCTAAAAGAATTTCTTTTCTCTTCTAAATCATGTAGAAGCAAGATTAAGGCTTGTTTTGAAATTTAAGCATGAATAGTCCCTGGAAACATTAAAATGGAGCATAATATGGCTGTCTTCTTTTCTTTTTCTGAATAAGATTTATTTTTGGAAAGTTTTAGTTGTCATCTTATGGAATGCATTCTAGGAAGAAAAATGCAAGGTTGGAGCTTTTCTCTTATATATATTTATCCAAGTGGATTTTAGAATTAGTTTCAATACTGGATAATATGTTGACATTAGGAATTCGTTTATGCTTATTCGTTCCCTGTTAGCTTTAGAATTAGTTTCAATACTGGATAATATGTCGATAAATTGTTACTATTTGGAACATGTACTGAATGCAATACTTTGAAATATAAGGCTTCAAGAGACTTGACTTTGATAGCCCTATTTGATCCATTTGTTGGGTTCGGTTTTGATCTTTTTGGAATGAATTCATGCTGGAAACTGTCTTGACCCATCTGCTGGGATTTAGTTTTAGTTCTTTTGGAATGAATAAATGCTGGAAAATATTCTCTGTTCTCCCATTTTGTTTGGTTCTGTTTTGATCTTTTTGGAATGGATTCATGCTGGAAACTGTCTTAACCCATTTGCTGGGATTCGATTTTAGTTCTTTTGGAATGAATAAATGCTGGAAATTATTCTCTGTTTTCCCAGTTTGTTGGGTTCGGTTTTGATCTTTTTGGAATGGATTCATGCTGGAAACTGTCCTGCTAGGACTCATGGGATTCGATTTTAGTTCTTTTGGAATGAATAAATGCTGGAAATTATTCTCTGTTTTCCCAGTTTGTTGGGTTCGGTTTTGATCTTTTTTGAATGGATTCATGCTGCAAACTGTCTTGACCCATCTGCTGGAACTGGGTTTTGGTTCTTTTGGAATAAATAAATGTCAGAAGTTTTTTTTTTTTTTTTTTCTGTTCTACCATTTGGTTGGGTCCGATTCTGGCTCTTTTGGAATTGAATTATAGTTGGAGGTATTCTTTTTGTTCCTTTACCTGTTACAGTTAGTTTGTTTT